TAAGTTGTGCCCAATCTATTCTAATAACACCTACTCAAAACAAAGCAAAAATTTGATATTTTTTGCTACAAATAGCTAATTGGCTAATTTGACTAATATTAGTAATATTTTATCAATTGGCCAATTTTTATAATGAACTACTTATAAATGGACATAGCTGGTAATTTCCCCAAAAAAAAAGGGCTAAAGCCCATTAAAAACTCAGGTATTGGTCAGAACTGGTTGGGCCGTAGAAACCACGAAGAATTACGAAGAAATAGCAAATATATATATATATCGTATTTATTTGTAGTTATACTTTAGAAAATTACTATTCTTAAATGTATTTAAATTTTATAACAAAATTAGAAAAATATTATTCGTAACTATATTTAAAATTTATAGCAAATTTATCTGTAGTACTAAAATAAGAGATTAATTGTTTTAAACTTAAACAACAGCTCAGTTGTTTAGAGCAACTAGTTAGTAAGCGAAGGTCTTGACTCTCGAAGGAGAGAGTTCTATTTTTTGTGTACTTTTATATGTCTCTTTGGTTGTACTCATCATGCGCAAACGGTACACGTTCTATTCGTTGCCTGTTCATTGCGTGTTCGATTACAAGTGATACAAACTAGTAATAATTGAACAATAGTTATGTGTGTTCGTTGCGTGTCTGAATACAAGTGATAAAAATTAGTAATAATTTTGAACAATAATTACGTATCATAATTAGGTACTGTATCAATTGAATACGTATGATAATTAGGTTCTAAACTGCGGTACTTAATGAAAATTTCTCAATAATATGCAGATAGACAAAACAAAAAGGTAAAAGAAAAGATAACATTTCTTGTTTGGCACGAATAATGCACCACGAAAGAAGCATGATTAACAACCGACTCTGTAAGCTACTAGAAAAAGAATTAGTCAATTAAATAACTATTATAAGAAAATATAAGTTTGTTTATTGATCACGGACTCTTGGAACTAAAACTTAATTTTTGGTAAGTTGTAGTTTTCAATATTAATCTTATCCATGGAAGCTTCTCGTATACGGGTTATGGTCCGGGCCGGTTACGGGTTGGGGCTTAACGGGTTTAACGGGTTCGGATTCATCCGGGTAAAAATTGAACCGTAAGGGTTACGGGTTGAGGGGGCCGGGCCGGGCCGGGTTTAGTGTATATTTTTTTTTTTTTTTTTTTTTGTATTTTGTATAACTATTGTAAGTTATATTAATACTTTGTATTAATATAAAGAATACAAGGAAGATGGGAAAAAATTGCACTTATAAATTGCAAGTGCAACATTTTTTTCAAAATTACAAAATTAAAGTTTGCATTTAAAAAGTAAATTAATATCTTATGTATTTTTATTGTGTACTAAAATATATTTAATGCCTATCTTATGTATTTTTACATTGTAACAAGTTGTTTATTTGATGTATATTTATGATTTGAGCATTTATACCCTAAATATATACACTATATTTTTTATAACCTAGGATCCGGTATTTTACCTTATATAATACTCCTATATGATTTAAATTATATTTTTTTCATTTTAAATACGTATAAAATATATACTCAGGGTATAATCAAGACTTATAAAATATATACTCAAAGCAATTTCCACTGTAAAACATACAAAAAAGTGACAAAAGTATTCCACTATTATTACATGTATCATACTTGCAAATTATATGTTAAATTCCAATAATTTTAAATTATGTTAATTAGTATACAATAATTGGTATATTCATGGTATGTGTAAGATATAAAATATTTATACTAGAATATACCACTATTATGTTTTTAAAAATTAGACAGGTATGTAAAGCTCCCCAAAAAAAATTTAAAAAAAATAAAATTTACCCATTAAACCGGTCTGGGCCGGTCCGGTTAACCGGTTTAACGGCACTGTTCATCTAACGGGTTGTACCGGTCCGGATAATCGGTATTTAAAAAGTAAACGCAGCAACCCGCGCGGCCCCCCTAACCCAGCCCAGCCCAGCCCCCTTAAACCGGGCCGGGCCGGTTTCGGTTTTAACCGGTCTGGTCTGGTCCGATCCGGAACCGGGCTGACCCGACCCGTTTAACACCTATAGAGTAAACTATGATTCTCATAAAATGCCACACAATAAATTTATACTTTTATAGTATCAACCCCCAACCATTAACGATTGGTAGTTGAAACTCTAGTAAATTAATTGACTAAACAAACAAACCTATGCTACTCAGCTAATTTGACAACTTTTGCCAAACTAGCAAAGCATATACCTCAAGTTTTTTAAGTTTTTTATTTAATGTTTTTGGTAACAAAAAAGTTTGGTATTTATTTTGCTATTTATGTATTTCCATTTTTGAATTACTTATTATTTTGTCAGCATTATCTGCTTTATGATGATTAACATAAGATTTGTCAATGACAGATTCTTGTAGGGATTGTTGAAAAAGGGAAGTTTTTGCGAAAAGAAATATATATACCTCGTGCTACACGTTTGAAGGACTCTTTTGTACTGATGTAACAGAATTAAAAATAAAAATACAAAAAAATAAAAACCAATCTACCTAACAATTATATCACAAAAAACTAGTGTCGGTTATTCATGAATCACACCAGAAGCAAAGGCGGAGCTAGATTATTAGCTATTGATTTAAACGAACCCAATAACTTTTGCCTATACGTTATATTTCAGTTAGAAAATTTATTCTATATAAATATATATTTAGTTGCGAATTCAGTAACTAAAATGAGCTATGAATCAGATAGCAAATTCAGAATCAATAAATTTAAATTTCGGTTTCACCTCTGACCAAAAGTACATAAACAATCACTATTATTATGACTTCAAGTAATTTGGAGTCCGCTATTTGATCAACTACAACAACAACAAACTTAGTATAATCCCACATGTGGGGTTTGGTATTTGATCAACTATTATACAAAATTAATTAATAATTAGGGCGTAAATGAAGTGAGTTGAGAATCATGAAGTTTCCGGTTCAAATTCAGGAAAGGCAAAAACATTAGATGACTTCTTTCTATCTATCCTAGCGTGGAAGATAGAGCTAATCGGTATCTGTATTGGTAGGAGATGACAACTATCTCTTAAAATTAGTAGAGATACATACAAACTATTTAGAAAATTAATAATTGGACCGAATACCAGGAGCTTCAGGTGTCTTGAGCAAACATTGTTCGAAATCATACAATGTCAGTCGATATATTTAAGGAAAAATGCAAAATTGATCGATCGGTCAAAATTAATTGCATTTACTAATCAAAAGTGCGTAATATATATGTTATCGGATATTATTTTTTAAAGCAACTAAAAATATATATTTTCCAATAGATTTATCCTTTAATAGTATCAGCCTCCAACCATTAACTATAAATGGTTGGAACTATACTAAATAAATTGACTGACCAAACAGAGGTGCGTTATTCCAGCTAGTTGACAACTTTTGCCGAACTAGAAAAGTGGAGACCTCGATATTTCTAAGATATCCGTTCAATATTTTTGGTAACAATATGGTTTGGTATTGATAATTTGATATCTTTCCATTTCTTAATTAGTTATCATTTTTGTAGTCATTATCCACTTTATGATTTTTATTGTATCTCTTATTGATAATGACTAACAAATATAGGTTTTGGTAGTTACATAATCTTGTAGGGATTGATGAAAAAATCAAGTTTTAAGCAAAAAAAGATATAACTATTTTATAATTGTATTAGAAATAAAAAAATTAAAAAAGAAAATATAAATATATGCCAATCAGTAAAATTTTAGTAGATACTAAATTTTGAATTATAGTTTTTTTTAAACAATTAATGCTATGTTAAAAACCTTAAGGTAGAACTTTTAAAGTTTTAATCATGAAATTGCCTCTCCCTCAATCATTTTTATTGGTTGTTTAAGACTTTGATACGCCTTTAAAAAATAATTTAATAGCATCAAGTTAAATGATATTTATTGAATTATTCTCATCTCTATGAATAATAAATGACTATATGTCTTTTGAAGTAGTAAGAGTATGATTTTGCAAAAATAATTATATATTTTTATTTTTAAACGAGAAGTATTTTGGACAATTTATTGGTTAAAATGATAAATAAAAAGAACTGAGAAAGTATTACGCTTCAATTTCAAGTAAGTTAGACTTGCCTAATTTATAGACAGCATCCGTGTCGCTTTAAATAAATGTGTCTTAGTTTAATATCATTAATTAAAAAGTTTAGTTTTTTCAATACTTGTTCCTCACACTTTTTGTTGACATGACTCAACAATCAATACAAACCAAAAAAATTATTTTTCCTTGTCCCCACCGTAGATCCAATTAGATTCTACTAAATTTTCATTCCAAATCACAACAAAAGGAAAAGACAAAAACACCCTTCTCATCAAGGTTGGTGCAAGGTGTTTTCAGTCAATTCATACAACATAGCTTTATCCGCTCACAAAGACAAAAGCCACGTCATCTAGAGAGAGACGTTGAAATTGACGGTATGAATCTGAGCAACCAAACTGTGGACAACTGAAAACATGATGCTACCAAATCAAGACAGAAAAAAAAATTAAAAAAAAAATGAGTAAAGACCAAAAATGATTTTTTTTGTTATTTTATTTATTTTGGGCTCGACTAATTTGAACTGACGTCGGAAAATTCTACTTTAGAGGAAGTGACGGAGTTAGGATTTTCAGTATCATAATATAAAAAATTAAACACACGAAAAGGCCAAAGGATTAAATATAGAATATATATATGCATAAATAAAAAATTTTACCCAGTGTAATTTTCTGACGAAGAACTGTCGGTTAACACCCCTTATCTCCGCCAATGTTAGAGGATAATGTATATTTCCGTTAACAATAATTTTATTAACACCCATCATAATTATAGGGAATAAGAGAAAAAAATGATGAAAAGTCAAGAAAATGATTTTTAATTCCCTCGTGGGACCCTTTTAAGAACTTGTTCTATAAATACCCAGTTGGCCTCCTACTTTCTTTCTTTCTTTCCTCCCTTTTCTCTTGGGTGTCTTCACAGTAAAAAGGTACTCTTTACTTATCATTCTCTTTTCGTTTTTTCCTTTCTTTATTTTTCTATTTTCCTTTTTCTTTCTTGCATTTTTATTGTTTGTTTATTTCTTTTTTTATTTTTGTTTATATATTTTTTTTGGTTATGTTTGGTTAATCTTGCATGCACTTGGTATGTTGCATTGATCTGTAATTGTTCAGATGATGCCATTTGCTTTTATATGTTAAATGAGTTGTGAATTTAACTGGGTTTTTGTGTTTGATTGAAATAGTTGTAGAATTTATTAATTGTTTAAGTTTTATAACTTCAATGTATGATAAATTGGGTACACACTAAATTGCTGAGATCATTAGGGCTTGACTTGTCTATCAAGTTTTTCAATTTAAAAACAAAAATTATGTATTTTGGGAGCTGAATGGGAAGTAGAATTGGTTTTTTTGCTGTAGAGTTATTGAAAAGATTGATGTAATTTGGCTTTTTTGATTTTAGGTTGACTTGGATGCAATATAGTGTAGTTGGAGGATAGTTGCAATTTTAATATTTTTATTATCTACATTTAGATTATGTATTCACATAATTAAAAGTATTTTCACTTGTTTGGCTTAGATGAAAGCCTTGTCCTGTGCGGCGGAGTTGTTAATCTAGGGCAGTTTGCAGAAGTTCCGTTCGAGACTGAAAAGGTAAATTTGTAAATCATTTAAGGATGTCAATGTTACCGGTTTTGAAACTCAAACTAACTAGATAGTAACTCATGATTAGTCTATGGAACGTGAAGCTAATGTTTCCATCGTATAGTTATAACTTGTGTTTAATGTTGGGAAATATATTGTATCAGATCTTGTTGCCCGTGGCAGAGCTAAGGCACCATGTGTTGTTTTTCTTTTGTTCAAGATTATAGTGTCTGAATGTGCATTGACATCTAATCATTAAGATGTCGTCTATAAATCCTAAGCACCAGATAATTAAGGCGATTGTTTTCTCAGAATCTAAAAGTTTATCGTTTTTAATCTGAAAATTAATAAATATAAGTTCAATTAAATTAATACTCCCTCCGTCCCAAATTATGTTACACTCATTCCTTTTTAGTCAGTCCCAAAAAGAATAACACATTTCTAAATTTAGTAACTATTCAACTTTTAAGTTTTTCCTGATGATTTCTAACCATACAAATTTCTATGATTTAGTTTAGACCACAAGTTTCAAAAGTCTTCGTTTATTTCTTAAACTCCATGCCCAGCCAACACTTTTACATAAATTGGGATGGAGGGAGTAATTAAAGTTTATATTCACAAGATATTCTTTTACAAAAACTTAATTTATACGGTGTTTTAAAAAGGATTTTTATAATAAATCCTCTAAAAGTTAGCGGCGGAAGTAGCTAGTGGCTGTGGTGGTCAATGGTGAAGATTGTGAGGTGGTGGTTGTGGCTTCGTGATGATGGAGCGGTGGTGGCTGTTTGAGTGATGGTTGGTGGAAGTGGATGTGGCTGATGGATGTGGTTAGCGGAACGTAGTAGTTGGTGGTGATTGTAAGTAATGGCTGGTGATGGTTGTGCAGTGGACAGTGGTGGCTGGTGGTGATAGTGGCTAGTGGTGAAGTTGGATGGTGGTGGTAGTTATTTGGAGGAGGCTGGAAGGTCACATTTGCATAAACCTTAACGTCGAGCACAAATAAGTGTAAAAGGAAAAACAAATCATATGCACTAATAGGGCGGGGTATGAATAATTCAAATTAAGACTCCCATTAAGTGGAAACAAACGGATCTAAATCCTGCAAGGCTTAATTAATAATAGATCCCTTTTTTTATGTAATCCGAAATGGTGAGCAGAATTAAAATATCAGATTTGGCTTGGGTTTTGTATTCAAAGATGAAGGCGGGAGTGACCATAGTTATCTCCTTATTTCCCAATTAATTACATGACCTAGACCTATTGATCGCTAATTCATTTTTCTTTATGACTCTAACTACACCTAATTAATGACTTACATAATCATTTTTAGTCCAATTGCATCAAATTTTTTTGGCTAAGTCTATTTGCAGTTGTTGATCGTCAACTAATCTAGCTCTTGAAATATATAACATTCTTAATCCTTCTACTTTCTGGCATAGCTAATGGTGATGTTCTCCCCTTTCCTTCATTTATTCTCTTGGATGTAGATTGTAGAACTAAAAGCTAAATTGAGGGATTTGACTGACCAATTGCAACGAGCATTGATACTTTCTAATCAAGATTTAGAAGTTAAATTAGCACAAGTGCAATGCCACTGCATCTAAGCAGCTGTTGGGAACTTAAGAAACTTCAGCCGTTCTTTCAAATGAAGCGTCTTTTTTTCTCTCAAAATAAGCTTGAGTTTAATTGTGAATGCACCTGTGGATGACATCTGCTGTTCTTCAATTAAGTACCTGAGATCAAAGCAATTTAACTATTAAATGAGTTTAGGTAGAATTTGCTTCTATATTTCAGCTTTACAAAAGAATAAGCAGGAATGACCTAGAACTAAGTTTGTCGGTAAGTTTAAGGTTAACATCAGGTCATACAAAACTGTTGGCATTCAAGGCTAGATGTTACACTATAATAATTTGATGTTTTCTACCTAAAAGCAAAATGTATGGGCAGAAAGAGTATAGCTGTTTTTTTCTGCTTTTACTTGGTATATTCTATATTTCTCTTCGGCAACAATTTTATTTATTTATTTATTAATTTACAGTATGATTTAGTCAGAGTATGATCTGTGCATGACTTATCAGCAATTCATATACAGTACTTTCTGATGCGATCTCAAAGACATCTTATAATATATGTGCAGGTCAGTAGTTGCTTTGTAATCATCTGGGAAGGGAATGATTTTCCAGTTCCGGCGGTCATGGAAGTAGATACTGGAAATTCATGTTATATTGAGAAGCTGCCCGTAGAAAGATATACATCTACAAGAGAAACAAAGAAGCCTCCAGAAAATAACAAAAGCCCTCCTGTATTTGTCAATCATGGTTTGTTCTCTGACCTTTATGAGAATTAAGAAAACAAATCTATTCAACTGATTGAGGCAAATGTTTTAGTTAAGGAGTTTCACTTGTTGGTGAACATGCTCTGTTTATTCTACGGCTGAGAAGGACTTAAGAAAATAATCTAGACTAAATTCATTTTTCTGTTGAGTGAGGAACCTGTTTTAATGCTCCTCTCAATCAGTCAGCCGGTTTTGGATCTTTACTCAAACCTCAAAAGGTTGAGAGATAGGTCGTTGTAGTCTATTTGGCAACAACATTTTTTTCTGTAGAAAGCTTCTCTCTGGAAAGCTTCTATTCTGTGTGTATTACATTTAACTTAGACTCTGTAGTAGGATATACACTTGGTAAAAGTCTGTAGCTAATAACTCTGCCATTCCAGCACATTATATGCCAAGAAGCACAGACACTCATCGTCTTCAAATGCATTTTTTTGTTAGTGTTGGTTGGCTTATATCTCTACAACAAAATGGCTTGAGGTCATCAGTTTCTTTTATTGTTTTGTTTGCAATTTCCCTTGTCAAAAAGATAATCCTTTTTTTGTAGTTTAAATGTAATGAGGACTCTTAACCATACCGCTGTGCTGATATCAACTATCGCACAGGTATCTTCAGCTTTCTTGTTCTTTACATTGAAAGAAATAATTCCTCACATTAGCCAGCGTCCTCCAGTTTGATGTCCCCGGATTTAGGGAAGAGGATATACTTCAGCGGAGAAGCTCTATTCGCTAGAGGAGTTACCTTAATGCACTCAATAAAAATGAGCAACCTGAATGCTGAGGGTGGCTGTAACCTTCTTTTACATAAACACAGATTTTCTATTCTTGGTGATCCCTGGAAAAAAGCTGATCCAAAATTTATGAGTTTAGACATTCTGATTCTTCTTGTGTTACTAATATGGTTTAGCTGTTAAATGGTGCAGCTGCTATTGCATGGCACGAGAACAGAAGAAAATGGGTTGGAGATCTATCAATGAGGTCAGAACGGGTGCCCAAGGATCCAATTATAAGGTAATTTTAGTTTGCACCCACAATATACAGAGAGTCCCCATTTTTGTTTCATGCTCAGATGAGGGCTGGAGTTATCAGTACTTTTGTAGTGACGACCTAGTACTCTCGGTAGCTTGGCGATAAATGGCGGTGCACTAAGCTCCCGCTATGCGCGTAAGGGCGGGCCATATTGGGTTTATTATATGCGAAGTAGTGAGGCAATAAGCGAAGAAAACATGTTCCGTCTTTGACTTGGGTCAAATCTTTCATTACTGTTCTTATTTCTTACTAATTAGACTGAAACTCCACGAATCACTCGTGCAGTTGGTCAACAACTTATGAAGACTTGCTCTCTACAACTGAGCCTTTCTCCGAGCCAATTCCTTTAACTGTAAGCAATCTGGAAATTGTACATCACTTCCTTTTATATATATTATTCTATCTGAAGTCTGCTCTTTTGCTGTTTACAAGAATGACGGCCATTTGGCTAGTGCTAGTATTAATTGGATTAGTCTCTGGTTTTCACAGGAAATGGTAGATTTTTTAGTTGATATCTGGCACGATGAGGGGCTTTTTGACTAAAATAATTTAGAAGACGATTTCATCCAGGTATCTCATGCAGATTATTGTGCAGACGTGGGAAAATACTTGTGCACCTTCGACAGTCTTTTGACCCCTAAGATATTTAGCGTGACATTCAACTTCTTTTAGCAAATTCTTCTAGTCATTGATCTTTATAGAACTTCCATTTTGTGTTGTACCATTTGTGTAGTCATTGCCTAGTATATCATTAATAGGTGGACAAAACCTCGGAGAGTCCTCTGAATCATGTTGTATCAAACATTAATGTATCACACCATAAGTACTGAATCTTTGAAACAGATTCTTAATTATCCCAAAGTAGCCATGTTTTCAATTATTTGTGTGTGTATATGTTTTGTAGTGAAGGGGAGCCTTGGCGTAACTGGTAAAGTTGCTGCCATGTGACCAGGAGGTAACCGGTTCGAGCCGGGAAAACAGCCTCTTGCATAAATGCAGGGTAAGGCTGCGTACGATAGACGCTTGTCATGCGGCTCTTCCCCGGATCCTGCACATAGCGGGAGCTTAGTGCACCAGGCTGCCCTTTTTTTTTATATGTTTTGTGGTAATAAGCTATTTTTGGGCGTAGCTTATCAAGTATTGTTGTTCTCTTAATAACAAAAGCAACTGACTGTTGACCATGTTTATGATTTAGTTGACATGGCTAAAGTGCGTGCTAGTTACTCTGGAAATTGTATAATAGTTACTTCTATAGATATTAACACATCACAATTCACAAGTTTGCTTCTTGGATATTCATTAAAATGATTAGGATTGAGGGCCTTTTGGTTAATGCTAGTCCAATTGGATAGGTTTCTGGATTTTATTTTAGATGGTATACTTTTTAAGTTGATATGTGAAACGATAAAGGCTTTTGACTAGATAACTTTGCAAAAAATAGCCATTTTTGGGGATGCTATTTAGAGATTAGTCCGTACTTATTTTGTCCTGGAATTTTAAACTAAAAATATTTACTTCGGGACAATTCATGACATTTTTGTTCCAAAAATATTTGAACTGAAAAACTGAAATTTAGGACGCAGTGGCTAATTCTTAGAGTGGCTACCTTGTGTCATTTTAACGAGTTGTTCATCTAGGTATTTTGTTCGAATCTTGTGCAAATGTGTTTTGATAGTATTGGAGAGATTAGTCATTAGACGTTGAACTCCAGCAGGTGCGTGGGACTCAATACATTTATCAGTTTGGTGTAAATATTGAGAAAAATTATCACTCAATGGCAAACTCTTCTAATAGGACTGCACATATATACTGCATTTTCACTAGGCATATTTCCTATTTTAACTTTTGTTTTACAGTTATTTCAGGAATTCAACGGGTATATATTTTCTAGTTAATTAAGAAAAGAGTTACAACAATTGTCCTAACAGATAGTATTTTTTTCCTAAGAACAATTAATTTAGTTCAAGAGAGAATAATAGTTGAGTTATTTCATTTATACCTTTACTCAATAGTCAAATGTCATAACCAATAATTCTCGACTCTAATACAATACAATTAACTTATTTACTTTTTGGTCCTTCTTTTGCATCTGTTAAGCGTTTGAGTATTATGGTGTACGACCAAACGATGTGGTGAGAGGTCTCTGGGTTCGACTCTAGCAATAGAGAAATTCCTACTAAGGTACGCTTCCCCCTTAAATTGATCTTACCTCTAGTTAGTAGGTTTCATATGACATCCTATGTGAATCTCACGTTGGCAAAACACATGGGAGATGCTAGGTATATAAGCAGACAAACTTTAGACTATAGTGACACATTTTAAAGCTGTGCGGGCCAGGCTCAAAGCAGACAGTATCACTTGAGGACTGAACTGTCACATATGGTATCAGAGCTACTCCGCTGCAACCTTGAATGGTGGAGGGGCAAACCTCAGCGAGCTACTCTGCGTGCAACCTTGAACGGTGGTGGGGCAAACCTCAGTGTCGCTGGCAACCTTGAACGGTGGCAGGGCAAACCTTAGCGTCGCTGAGTCCCTAAGGGGGGTGTATGTGACATCCTAGGCGAATCCCACATCGACAAAACACGGGGGAGATGCTGAATATATAAGTAGACAAGCCTTAGACTATAGTGACTTTTAAAGTTGTGCGAGCATAAGCCAAAGCGAACATATCACTAGTGAGCTAGGCTGTTATATTTTCAATACCAGATAGATTGTAAAAAAAAAAGTATTACGATGTGGTTAATATGCATAAAGAAAGACATAAAAAACAAGTTGTCCATAAACTTATGTACTGTCATTCCACAACTTTAATATTTTCACTTATTCCTCAACAAAGGTTGAAATACTATCTTTATTTTTTTTGGCCAAACGAGTAATATAATCACTCATTCAGCAGAAGTAGCAATAGCACTTGTACGCTTCACATTCTCCGCGAAGAGCTCCCTCTAATTTGGTGCATTTGTCTTGACACTCACCAAACCTGACCAAAAAACAAGCCCCTCCAAATGTACCACTGTACCTTTTGCAGTCTTGAGCTTCCACACTTGTTATCTCTGCACAAAATCAAGATTCACATATTTAATCAAGAAGCTAGCGTATCGCGATGAACCCTAATCATTTTATGTATATCAATTGAGATGTCTTGTGTAGCTATCCAGCTATGAGTTTAACTGAATCCAATAACTTTGATACTAAATATATGTGTAAAAATTACTAAAATTTCAATAAATATCATATTTTTAATCTTTTAATTTTAAAAGTGCAATAAGCTCAATGGTTAAATTATAAATATTGAACCCTTCAAGTTAAAATCATGAATTTCTACTTATGTGTCTAGTGTGCTGAGCAGGGTTGGAACTCATATATGTTTTTTATGCTTAGGTATCAACCTAAAAAATCATTGTTTTGGTATACTTACTTTCTAGACAATAATCAAAGATTATTTTTCTCATCTTGCTAGCAGATGGAATTTTCTCGTAAGTGAACGAATAATTACGCTTAACAGTTAACACCCTCAATTAGAATCTAAATAACTTCACATTCTACCCCATCTACAATAATATAAAGCAACAATAATACCACCAAAGATTGCGGTGGGATGAATAGATTCCCTGCATCTTTAATAAGAGGTCTCGAATTGATGCCCTGAAAGTGGAAAAAATACTCTTTCCCCTTTGATGGGTCTTACACAACGTGAATTCAAATTAATCGAGCTAGTAAATTTCCTGTACCGAATAATTGTACAAAAAGAATAACAGTAACAAATATGATGAGGACAATAAGGGGTAAGAGGATGATTCTCATACACCTTTTGATGCAAGGAGGAGAAAACAGAAAAGCAGAAGGGAGAAAATTTGAGATTTAGCCATATGAAATTGCTCAAATAAAGTAATTCTGTGATTATGGTATTCATTGCTTGCACATTTATAGGGAACTAAGAATAATTGTCAATTGGTCCATTTGTTAATTTGGTGGTAAGTTCCAAAGTATTAATCGACTAATTAATTGAAGACTACTAAGAAAATTGGATGTACGCTCTTGTCTTTGGTCGAGATGGCCGGATGACACTACTAAGAGCAGGGCGTGTTTGACCAAAAAATATTGAAACCTTTTTGATTAAATCAATTAATGAAGATGAAGAGGTAAATTTTAGTCAAGCATAATAAACTCCAGATCTATAATCAAATTCAGAAAATGATGAATGAGATGAAATAGGGGCGATCAATCTTATTGATGTTTTTCATTTCTTCTCCCATCAATCGATGGAGATAATCCGTTTACATAATGTCTGAAAAATCATTTTATCTCTGCTAAGAAGATTACAGAGGAGAGGAAAAAGAGAAAAAAGCCCCCCCCCCCCCCTTTCTTGGAAGGTTCCCTCCCTATATATAGTCATGGAGTATTTGTTATGTTCTTGGGTCAATGCTTTTTCATACCACGTCCGTTTTCGTCGTTCCCTGAGTATTGTTCTTCGACTTAGCAGGCACTGTAGGTATATGGTTTGGAGCAAATCATGACGTCTTTCACCGTCCCACCGCTTGGGCGGGATCCCAGTTGGGTCGACCACAACAGTCTGATTTTGACCAATACAGTTAGTCCCTCCGTCTACCGGGGTCGTCTCTTGTCGGGCCTGGCAGACGGATTATGATTTTTACACATCTAAGAGAAATCTGACCATCTACCCTTTGGGTATGATTTTTAGATTCAAGAATGTAACGGAGACCGTCGCAACTGTTTCGAACTCGAAGCATCGATTAAAACGTCGTTCGTGGTTGCTGTCGTTATGACACACGTTATTGAACCGTTTCACGCCCTATCATCTTCGATTGGCGACTCTTGGGGAATTTATGTCTCCTATAAATAGAAGGAAAGCACCATTCGATTGACACACTTGTTTGCCCTTACTTGAAAGAACTCTGTGAATCTTCTTTTCTCCTGACACTTCGGGTTTTTAATTTTTTTCGGTTAGCCAGGAACTTTCGTCTTAGTCTCTTCTTTTTTCTTCCATCCCTTTGTTTTATCAAATTGATGCAAATGGCTGGTAATTCTTCCCGTGCTAACAATTATGCCGCAACTCCGGCGCCGGAAAGTGATGTTCCTGCCCCTAGAGGGGTAGAAGTGGTAGAAGATAAGGGGGTTCCGTCGGCGGCTGAGATCTTGCCTCGCCCTGGGAAACCATGGAACGATTTCCACAATCCTGCCAGGGAGGAGCCGGAACCTGCTTCCTCTATTATGACCGAGGAGGGGATTGCAGAGTTGAAGGCCAGATGGGGGATCCCTCACCACGTCGAAATGCTGTCGGTAGTGGGAGATGACATTATACATTTTGACCGCTCAGGATATTGTGCGTTCTATGCTTATCCCTTTATTGTCGGGTATACTCTTCCTCTCCCTCCCTTGGTGGTAGATTTTGCTGTTTCTACGAGGTGTGTCCGGCTAAGCTTTCGCCGTACTTGTATAAACTGCTCCTTATGTTGCTCGAGTTTGCGGAGCTTGCCGGTCGGGAGGTCACGTTGAGACACATGCTCAATCTCTTTGCTCCTCAACTCATTCATGGTACGATGATTCATATGCGCCGCCGAGGCACGAAGAGTTTGGTGGTGAAGATGGACGACAGAGCCAACTATCGTTTCTATGAGAACTATTTCTATGTGCGGACCGAGGACCTTGTGGCGGATCCTGAAGGGTTCCCTGAGAAGTGGAACTTCGCACGTAAGTTTCTATGCCTTTAGTCGTAGTGATGGTCGACCGATTTTCATTGGGCGGTACTTACATTGTTTTTGTTTTTGCAGCCACGAGACTACCCCCCGCTCCTGTTGACGATATCCGCGAGTGGGTGAATGCCATCCTTCCTCATACGGCGGGGGTTCGCGCATGGTC